TTCTATCATGTGATCTCCAGTGTCAATTCTATCACCAATGCCATATTTTCCAATTACCGATCCTTCTTCTTTGTTTCCAACTTTTGCGTTACAATCACCAGTAATCATCAATGCATCTTGATGGCATGTTTGACCAATTTCAGACTGCAGAAGTTGGTAAAAATTTTCAGTTTCTTCATGTTTTCCATTAGTGGTTGGTGTATAACTTTGAATAATAGTTGTATTAGCTGGTCTTTCTTGTGGGCATATGGATATTATACTATTACTGACAGCTTTGTACTTCAGGATAGATCTTGAAAAGTTCTTTTTGATGATGACTGTAACAACATTCCTTTTCAACTTGTCATTCCCAGTATAGTAGACTATATGCGTCTCTGATTCAGAATGGCCAATACCAGTCCATTTAAGCTCATTAAAACATAAGGATATTGATCTTTATGCATTCTATTTCATTTTTGACAACTTATAGTTTTCTTAAATTCATACTTTGTACCTTCCACCTCCAATTACTAATAGATGCTTGAAGCGTTTTCTTCTCATTTTGAGTTGTACCACAGCAGCAAATGAAGGCCCTTAAAACGTTAGTGCATCAATGTCATTAAGATTAAGTTTTTCCCTAGTCATATTTTGAGCTCCTTCTAACCTGAGGGGCTCATCTTCTGGCACTGTATCAGACAGTGTTCTGTTATTATTCATAAGGTTTTCACTGATCAATTTTTTTCAGAAGTAGATTGCCAGGTCCTCCTTCCTAGTCTTGATGATATTGAAGGAAGAAGTCCAAGCTGTACTGAGGGTAGTGGTGTAAAACAAGGCTCCAGGAATTAACAGAACACCAATTGAGATGTTTCAACAAACGAGTGCAGTACTAGGAATGCTCACTCATCTATGCCAAGGAATTTGGAAGACAGCTACCTGACCAACCGACTGGAAGAGATCCGTACTTGTGTCCATTCAAATGAAAGGCAATTCAACAGAATGTGGAAAATATTGAACAATATTATACCCAAGTAAAATTTTGCTGAAGATAATTAAAAAATGGTTGCAGTGGTACATTGACAGGCAACTGCCAGAAATTCAAGCCAGATTCAGAAGAAAACAGGAATGAGAGATATAATTACTGATATCAGATGGATCTTGGCTGGAAGCAGAGAATGCCAGAAAGGTGTTTACCTATATTCATTTGACTATGCAAAGGCATTCGACTGTCTGCATCATAACAAATTATGGATAACATTGCAAAGAATGGGGAATTCCAGACTTAACTGTCCTCATGTAGAACCTGTACATAGACCAAGAGGCGGTCGTTCAAATACAACAAGGGGGTACTGCATGGTTTAAAATTATGAAAGGTGTGCATCAGGGCTGTATCCTTTCACCATACTTATTCAATTTGCATGCTGAGCAATAATTCGAGAAGCTGGACTATATGAAGAAGAATACTAAATCAGGATTGGAGGAAGACTTGGGAACACCCTGTGATGTGCAAATGACACAATTTTGTTTACTGTAAGCAAAGAGGACTTGAAGCACTTACTGATGAAGATCAAAGACTACAGCCTTTTATGGATAATACCTCAACATAAAGAAAACAAAAATCCCCACAACTGGACCAATAAGCAACTTTATGATAAATGGAGAAAAGATTGACAAGGATTTCATTGTACTTGGATCCACAATCAACACCCATGGAAGCAGCAGTCAAGAAATCAAACAATATATTGCATTGAGAAAATCTCCTGCAATAGACCTCTGTAAAGTATTAAAATAACAACAACAATAACAAGAAAACAACGATGTCACTTTGAGGATTAAATGCCTGATTCAATACTCTGATATACATGCAAAACTGGATAATGAATAAGGAAGACCAAAGAAGAATTGATGCCTTTGAATTACGGTGGTAATGAAGAATATTGACTATACCATGGGCTGCCAGAAAAACAAACAAATCTATTTTGGAAGGAGTACAGCCAGAATGCTCCCTAGAAGTGAGGATGGGGAAACTTAATCTCACATACTTTGGACATGTTGTTAGGAGGGACCAGTCCCTGGAGAAGAATGTCATGCTTGGTAAAGTAGAAGGTCAGCAAAAAAGAAGAAGACCCTCCACGAGATGGATGGACACAGTGGTTGCAACAAAGGGTTCAAATATAGCAACAATTGTGAAGATGGCGCAAGGCAGGGCAGTGTTTCATTCTGTTGTATGTAGAGTTGTTATGAGTTGGAATGAACTTGAAGGCACCTAACAACAATATCAGGTATCAGGCACTTTACATACATTATTTCTATTTTGCACAACAACCCTGCAAGATAGGTACTGTTA